AAGTCATCACTCCGGAGACCTGTCACTGATGGTATGTTGGTTATTAAGTTTTTTCCCTTTTTTTTCATGTTAATGATTACCCTGGCTTTTTTTTTTGTTCTTTTCCCTGTTGAGACTCCCTGTCAAATATAAGTATTGGTGTACGCAAAGAGTATAGAATTGCAACAGGTTTGGCTGTGTTGATTTTTGCATGTACGCCAAAAAATGATAGGGATAGGCGGCACCTTATTAGAATTTGAATAGAGTTTGAAACCTGATCATGCGTTTGTCATGAGCACCTTTTACGTTCTTTTGGAGGGCGCCTTCTAATTTGTGGTAGTACTTCTCGAGATAGGATTCCATTTCAAGGAAATCTCAAGAGTCAGAGACCGTATACAATTTCATACTCTTTGGTGTAAGGCTGTCTTCCCTTTTTTATATACCTTTTCAAAGTTCAATATTTCAATATTCAGATTCCCTTTAGGATTTATTTCAATCTCTTGTTTTACACAATTCTATTGATATTTATTTTGACTTCAAACCAAAGCTGAACCTTAGCTGTTGGTCTCCATGATGAATGTTTCTCTTTTCTCTTCTAATATTTTAGGAAGCCAGAAATCTAAAGGAAGCAGAAGAGTACACTTTTCTGATGGTCTTAACCCTGGGGATGAGTTAGTGGAGGAACCAATGACTTCAGTGTCACGCTCATCACGCTCCAAATCAGAGGGTGCCTCAATTGTAGCTGAGGGTCTGGCTGCCACCATGTCTGGGGGCAGTAGAAGGCAACCTCTCTCAAGATCAAGTAAGAAAAGTCTGATTCCTAAAGATGGAGTTTCTCTTCCGCCTGTTATCATAGCAACAGAAACCAAAGGAGGTATGTGGATAGATGTTTGGAACCCAGACTGAAAAATTGTATTTGAAAAAAAACATAACGACATGTCTAAATATGGTCATGATATCAATTCATGACCATATATAGGCACATCATGACTATATATGGGCACACAACAGTTTTTTTGTGAAAGAAAATTTGAGCGTAAAGCCTTGTCCAGACTATCAAATTTTATTGACAAAAAAATGCGACATTCCCAAATATGGTCATGATGACATAAAAATCAAATCAAAGTAAAGTTTATTTTCCTTTTGAACATAAAACAATTACAGAAAATTTACTTTTGGTAAAAAAAAAATTTGGGAAAAAAAATTACAAGAAAAGAAAAGTAATCATAGTAAGCAAAATATGGGAGAATGTAACAAAAGGAAGGAGGATCAAGTAAGCCTGAACTGATTTTCTGACTGATTCCCTTGAAAGTATGACATAATGAAATATTATTAATAATAATATTATTGCCTTACTATAAAAATAATAATAAAAATAACAACAAAATAATAATTATAACAATAAGGAAAGTAATTGAAAAAAACGATGCTATGGGGAAAATAACATGACGGTAAGGGGAAAATAACACAAAAGATATTCCCCTTAAGCCCAATTTAGTGAAATAATAATAATAATAATAATAATAATAGTTGTAATAATAGTAATAATAACAAAACATAAGTAATAATAACCAGAGGCAAAACAATATCAGTAAAAGTAATAGCAAAGAGTAACAATAAAAAAAAAAAAAGGAATATTGCAAAAGGCATACTATATATGACTATATATAGGCTTACAAAAGTTTTTTGTCAAAATAAATTTCATAATCTGGACAGCTAGGGCTAGCTACTGAAACCTAATTTTAAAAGATATTAGAGTTAATTTGCATATACAGGTTTATTGAACTTAGGGCCTTTTAATGTTTTTTTTTGTACATAGTCTTAAATTCCAGGGTCCATTCATCAAGGGTAGAGTCCTCAAAGAATAAACAAAAAGCGGCAACAATTGCAAACATATAAATACACATTTTAAAATTGAGCAATCAATACCAATAATGATATTAAAAATGTTAATCGAGAAATAGTTTGCTTAAAGAATCGTTAAAATACCTCTACTACATTTTTTTGTTTTAATGACAAAATTTAATGGTACAGTATTGCATTTCTTTAATTGTATTCATTTTGTTTTCAGAGTATGTAGTTGAAGAGAACCCCAAAGTTGAAAAATTAATGCCAGAATTACGTAGTAAGTTGTAAAACAACACATGTTTATTTTTTAAAAACTTGATACAAACATGTTTCTGCATGTAATAATAATGTTGTTCAGCTCTTTAAATATAATTTTCAATGGCATGAGAATCTATCTCAAGTACCTGAATTTGCTTCTACTATGCCAACCTCTCACATTTTGTTTACTGTTGGTTGTTGTGATTTCTTTGTCATCTTCACTATCATTAAGTATTACTCAATTCATGATAAATATGTTTATCAACATGATTTTTTTTTTTTTTGTAGATGACACTCCAAATCCAGTTGTATTTGTACTTAATAAAAACCTGTTTGTACTTGTTAAGATCATTGACCGTAAGTTTGCTGGTGTTTCTTTCATTGAAAGTTTATAGTTTATATTATGATATGGCATAACCTACAGTATTAACTGGCTTTTTGAATAGAACACGTACAAATAACATACTCAGCCCTGGGTTGATTGTCTATTATGCTGCAGCTAGTAATTATCAGTGAATTGGCATTTAAAACTTTTAAGTACCAACTCGGGGTAGTACCGTGCATAAAGACACAGAGTGATCAGCTTGAGATTTGAACCACTCCTATTCTCATTACAAGCTTCAAGCTTCAAGCTTCCAGTGTGCCACATGTTTTCACTATTGGTTTAACTATAGTATTTTATACTTTCTTAGAGTAATACTTATTTTTTTTAATTTATTATTATTATTCTTATTACAGTGAATTGCTGTGTGAATAGGACGTGTTGGTGCTTCTCAACTAAAGGCATGCCAACGGTTGGACAGGATGAGTTAGTGGTTGTACTAGAATGCACACCTGACGAGAAGGTTATCCCAAGAGATATATTTGTACATTTCAACAGTATCTATCATGAAGCAGCCAAAGGTGGGATGTTCATATATTTCAAAGTTGCCTTACTAAGGTTAAATGTATTTTCATTTGACGAAAATGTTCAACAACCTCTCCATTGAAATTAAGCAAGTTGAAAAAGTTCATTGATGTATGATTATTTCATCCTAATGATCATACCAGTGACCACTCCACCATTTTAGCTACATAACCATTGATTTGCATAATTCAAGTTAATAATCTATCTCTCTCAATACACAACTTTATTTTTTAAAGACATACAAGATCAAAGATACAAATTTCTGTATTGTCAAAAAAAAAAAAAAAAAGAAATAATGTACTGTAATCTCATGGCTGCTGCCAGTACTAAGCAGTATTAAATTATCTTAAATACTTTTGATTGTAGTCTCTGTATGTAATACTGACAAGTAATAATTTTTGATTATGTACATACATTAAACTTAGGATTTTTATTTTGGGAGAAGTAGGAGTCTATTATTCAAATTTTCATGTATTCTTTGATTATGATTGTATAGGTAACACTATTAACGACATGAGTCACTCGCTGTGTGGTGACAACTTCCTCGGTAGTCGTCAACATGGCGGATTTCTTTTCTTAAAGTCAACATTCCAGTGCCTGCGTAAACTCATCCTACCGGAACCACCATATTTGTTTGGTGTTCTATTGCAGAAGTGGGAGACACCCTGGGCTAAAGTGTTCCCCCTTAGACTCATGTTGAGGTTAGGGGCAGAGTTTAGATGTGAGTATTTTACTTGACTAAACATTTCATATTTGTAGAAACCTTTGAGGTCATTAACATGAAGTTCTATGCAAGTGTTTGCGTCAGGAAAATATAGAAGTGATGTTTTTCCCTACTTGACATATAATTGTACTGAATACTCAGTATGGCCCCCAAATACAGTACTAATGAAAACAATTTGCAAGTGATTCAGGTTGGAATCGAACCCATGACCTCCAGAAACTAGCCTGGTGTTATAACTACTAGACTGCACCAAGCTTTCGCTTAGTGACTAGTGTTGAATAAAAATCCCCAAGTAGCAGTGGGTACTGCAATGCATTTTGTCATGTCAAGTAGGCCATCACATGATGAAATAACATTGCGTCATGTCAGGTAGGGCAAAACATCGCTCTTCTAAAAAAATTGTTATTAGTCCGTTAACATAAAATATTTTGTTGACAGTTCCATTTGCTTTAATAATTTGTACAGATTATCCTTGCCCTTTGATGAGTGTGCGAGGTCGTAAGCCAGTGTACGGGGAAATCGGACATACCATTATGAATCTTTTAGCTGTAAGTAACAGGCATCTGTATAGCACCCTCTTCAGTCTGTTTAAGCCTGGCGCCACTGTATCGGTGACCGATGCAATTTTATGTGACCATAAAGTATTGATGCATTTCATGACAAATCATCTTAGGCGACATTGGCAGTCTGCAAACTCCACCTCAGGGAAACAATCACAGTGGGGATAAATTTATCAGACCAATGAAATGAACGCCAGGCTTTAATCTAATGCAAGCCTAGTAGCATCAATAATGTAATATGGTGGAAATCTCAGTTGAGGTTATCTAATATAATTGTAACACTCTCACAGTAATCTGTATTATACAACACCTGTATATCTTCTATTAATTTGATTGGTTGAAAACAGGTCACATGAGATTGATTTAAAATGAATATTCCATGGTTATATGAGTACTAGTCAAAGATTGTTGAATAGTACTTTTTTTTATCTCCAAGACGACAAAAATCTCAAATGCAAAGGGAGCAAGAAAAATTAGCCTAGCCTAGGCAACCCACGCATCAAAAAGGAGTTGGTCATTCAGTAGCCCTCGCTCCACCTACAAAACGGCAGGTCTATTTAGTACTGGGCCATTTGTACTTTCGAACAAAAAAGGTTTGGAGGAATTACTGAATGTAAGTTTATGCCAAATCAACAAAAAAGTCAATTAAATATGCAGTTAACCGTATAGAGTATTTCGCCAGCTTTAGCGGTGAAGATTTGAGTCTATTATTAGCGGAACCTGATCTTGATCAATTCCTAGGTCTAGGCCGGTTTTATGCTAGGCTTCGAAAGGAAGATGGGTCTTAGTATTCGAGAAGAGCATGCAGGTGATCCAGAGAGATATAGCTAGGTGTAAAACAAATAATAAATGTTTCTTATTCGTACAATGGGGTAGAATATTTCATGAAGTGAAAGATTGGATGTCTTATTCAACTCTGCTATGCCTCGTTGAATAGAACATCCAATCTTTCACCTCATGAAATGTTCTACCCCATTGCACTCATATATAATATATAATTTTCTTATGGTATTTCAGGATTTTAAGAATTATCAATACATGTTACCTCAAATTCCGGGGATTACGATTCATATGCAGAAAAAAGAAACCAGGATAAACTTTCCTAACAGTAAATACGATGAGGTGAGTAAACAGTTATAACAGTCCACGCTTTACCTCAGGTACGCGACTGTTTCTGTTTAAATAATTTAAACAATGTGCTGAATGTCCGATATAAGACTGAGGGTGATGCTGTAAGAAATCCAAGTCTTGTATTTACACCACACAGCATGTAGTGTGTTTATAAATTTGTATTTTGCAAATTCTTTTGCAGATCATGAAAGTGATTAGTAATTCGAATGAGCATGTGATGGCAGTGGCGGCCAACTTCAGCACCGAAGCCGACTCTCACTTGGTGTGCATCCAGAATGATATGGCAAACTATCAAACGCAAGCCATCAACATCCAAAACAAACCGAGGCAAGGTAAACTATGGAAAAGAGATGGTCTGACCACATATTCAAATTTGCACCATTCATTTTAATTTTTTATTAATGAAGGGCCTATAAGCATTTTATGCTTGTCCCCTGTTTGCAGGAGATCTGATGATTTACCTGGGACTCAAAACGTGTATCTTTTATTTGCACAATTACCTTCCCGCCAGTGTTCAACTTAAAAAATAAATTAAAAATCCATAGAATTACATCCATTTCTTTCATTGTACAATAAACATTGATTACAGTTACTGTAACCAATGTTTATTGGCTGCAGTAACTGTAACCGATGTTTATTGTACAATAACATTGGTTACAGTTACTGGAGCTAGCTTTGTGGTTTTCAATGGAGCACTGAAGGCAAGCACAGGCTTAATAGCCAAATCCAGCATAGTGGAAGATGGAGTGATGGTGCAGATTCAACCCGATATGATGGCTGCGTTCCGACAAAGCCTGAGGGAAATGAAGGACTTTAGGATACCGTGTGGACCTGTTGGGGACTCTGAACCAGAGGAAGTTGTCATTGTGAAGTGGATAGAAGAAACAAGAAAAGTTAACCAAGGGTGAGTAAGTAATTGCTTATGTGTGAACAGCCTGCGTAACATTCTCCTTGGTCTAATTATCCAAGATATGCCGCAAATAACCGAGTCACTGTCACAGTTGTCAAAAAATATACAAGCAAGTATACCACACACATCACCATGCTTTCCACGTATGCTTTCCATACCGACTACACATGTGCAAAATCTTACTAAATTAAAACCTACTGCATACTTAAATCCCAAGTACACACAGCAGTATGATTTGACCAAGGTAAAGTTAGCCTTCATCTTGATTTAAATGAATCCAATGTGAACACACCTTTATTCCACATCTCTAAGTACAGGTCTACCTCTAATCAAAGACCCCTCCAATTAAAGACCACTTTTCTGTGGTCCCAAATTCACAAATGTCTTTTATTTTTATTATTCTAAGTAGAGACCAAAGCTGTTAAAGACGATGAAAACCCTGGTCCCAAAAGTGGTCTTTAAGTTGAGGGAGACCTGTACATATTTTGTTTGTTTGTTTGTTTATTAATATTTCTCCACATATACATATTAGAAGTACTGTAATAATTCATATGGAAAAAAAAGTATGTGGATGGTGGTCAAAATAAGTTTGAAAACAAACTTTAAGATATGACCACCATATTCATCAGTGAGAGAGTACATGTGGCCTTCCAGGAATGCGTTTAAGCCCTGTCCACACTATAAAGTGATACTATGACATCATCATGCTCATGGGCACATCTCACAAATTGTTCACATAAAATTTGATAGTGTGCACAGAGCTGTAGGTTGGTGGTGGATGGAAATGCCTTGGAGGATTTAATTAAAACTGCTTATGAAAACTAAATTATATTTAAAATTCAATAGGTTAAGATCAATATTTTTTTAATAATTACCCTTTTTACACTGCCAAGGGCAGAATAAACACATGTTAATTCCGGAGTAATCCCAGGTGCATTTCCCATTTCCATCAAACGAAAAGTCTGGGTCGATCCCGAGTTGCTCCCATTTTACACTGGCAACGAACTAGGGTTCAAATACCACCCTCAATTTTTGTTGCGATGATAATCAACACTTCGTTCCAGTTCAGAGTCGTCACAAAGCCGCAATTATTGCTCGAATTATTGTCAATATTTGAGCAATGTATCTGCAGATTGTTTTTAAATTATGCAAATTAAATCAGCAGTCTATAGCCGAGCGCAGAGTGTTTAATTTGTTTCTAGGTCTAGCCCGTTGTTACCAAAGTTTAGGCCTACCTGCTGCAGTAGGGGCCAGGTAAGGCCTAATTCTGGAATCAAATTCGGTGCTGTTTGCACTCAGTTGGTGACTCCAATGCTAAATGCGTCCTGCACATAGATCCCGGGATATTTATCTACCCAGGTGGTATTTTATGATGTTTACACCAACCATAACTCGGGGAGTTTCTAGCCCAGGTATTGCAAAATCCAGGGTTGTGTCCGTCGTTTTGCCTGCAGTGTAAAAGGAGTATAATTTGTTTCATGGATGTAATTACAATTTAAAAAGTAAATGTCGAATAGTGTCATATGAAATTATTGAATTAAAATACTATATGTGTTTGTAGAGTGAAGAGTCCGATAGATGGTAGATCAATGGAAGGCATCGACAACATCCGTATTCACCATGGAACCGACTTCATGGGGAAGACACGTGCCATCCGTTGGACGGAAGTTTTCTTTCTGGAATCGAATGAAGCAATAGTGCAGCATCTTGAGCCAGTCGATCTGAGCCGATTGGCTGAGACCTTGGCAACCTCCTGCTGCGTGGCATTGGTACAACACCTGGACAGCCTGAAGGAATCGGGAATGGCGAAAATCGCGCTGCGTGTCACGGTGGATGCTGAACGAGTGAGTGTTTAATTTAATGATGCACATCATAATGGTGAATAGTGATAACCTGATAAAATAGTAAAACTATGCTGCTGATGGTGTGATAATTATAGTGATAGTATAATAATCGTGAATTAATGATGGTATGATGATAGTAATAATAATGATATGGGGATAATGTGTAATGGTATAGTGATAATAGTAATGATATGGTGATAAGTGATATTATAACATTTTAAAGATTAATACATTTTTATCATTGTATTGAATATTTTTATCATTGTATTGAATAAATAATTCTTTATCATTGTATTGAATATTTATTGATGTACAGAAAGCATGTTAAATATAGCATTATACTGTTGTGATTTTAATTTGGAATAAACAATATATAAATTTTAAAGATCTAATGGTGAATACATTTTGCACATTTAATTAAAATATAAATTGTAATTCAAAAGAATGGTACATTCGATATATGAATAAATGTATTTTAAATAATGATGTGTTTATTGGGTTGATGCTGCAGGTGGGGTATGAAGCTGGATCCAACGGCCAAGCTCTTCCTGCATCTTATATGAACAGTCTCGATAATGAAATGATACCTGTGCTTCATAACGCTGTCTCGCAGTTTGAAGATGGCCCCGTCATCATGGAACTCATCTTCCACATCATAGATTAAGTCATTGGTAAGGTCACCTGCTTATGCTTATCATAATGTTTATTTCAACGCACAGTAGCTCTCCATTTACCTAATGTCGCCATCACGTAAATAGTGATCAGTAACTAGCGCACGGTTTTAGTTCTGCCTCTGAAACTTGAGATTGGAAGTTCAATCTCTCGCTGAGCTTTTCGCTTGTCTCCTTAGGCAAGGCACTTTACCTGCAGTTCTCTTTTCTCCCAGTAGTAAAGTGAGTACCTGGTAGGTTCATAACAAAATGCGCTGATTACAGCTACAACATTTATGGAATTCTCCCCACAGACCTTTGTATGGGTTTGATATGTGCTTGATCCAATGCCCAGGATAATATTTATTAAGGGCATAGGTCTCTACATTATTAGGCCTGGAAAAAAAAAATTGTGTTGCCCTCTGCGACCGACCGAAATTTTAAAAAACATCGGGTCGGCATTTCTTTTTTTTTTTACAGTACATTACAAATTTGAGAAATACCACTTCCGGCTATAGGTGAATGCGTAAAATCGGTAATATAAAAGGCATAATTTTGAGAACGGAGGGCGGCGACGATATGCACACAACATCTCTCGCACTGAGCTGTCAGGCCACGACAAGATCTAGGCGTAGACCTAACCCATTCTTCACTAGTACAACTAGCCTAGTGGTTGCTTGAATCAAAAATCGTATTCATTACCTTACGGTATATTGGACAATAAATGAAAACAGGCTTAGGTGTAGCCATCGCTTTAAAACCGGTACATAGCTAGACATTTTCTGCTTTGTTACTGTTTTGGGCCAACAATAAACTAAATATTTTTCTCTTTTTTTTTCTCAAAGTTTTCTTCGATTTTATTACATAGAGGGTGCTTGTTTTGACATTTTTCATAGCCACAGAATGGTTTTGCTCGATAGAAGCCAAGTACATCTTTATTTTTGTTAAATTTATTTCAATATGCACTTGGTTAGTATTTACTTGGTCATTACTTTGAATATTTTTTGTTTGGCAAGCTTCCAGCGTTCTATTGTGGTGCCTACAAGCTATGAGCTCTTAGGCATAGGCCCTAGGGTTTTCATTATAGGGACTGCAGTTCCAGGCCTATCCTATTTCAAGTTTTACTAAAAGGAAAAAAAAAAAAAATTCCGACCGACCGACTGGCAATCTCATGAGAACAGAATATTTTTTTAAAAGCACCGCTCTCAAATAAGCAGCACATTAAACCCTCCAAAAATTTTATAAGCACCGTGGCACTTATTCAAGCATTTACAGTAACACACCAAACACTGCAATTGTAACATGTTTGAAAACATGAAACAATTGGCTTACACCAACTGTCATGATTGAAATTTGACAAAGTTGTTATTTGCAGCATAAACTTTTATTTACATTTGTTAATAGACTGGTAACATGACCTGAAGATTAGGGTGTTAGTCCTCCAGTGCGATAGTTCTGATATCATGCGTTATTGATATTTAACATTTCTGTTTTAGGAACAAGAGGAAATATTATGAAGGCAACATTTACACAGGATATATTACGAAAAGAGTACATTGCAGTTGCTGTTGTGTTCAGTCTATACTCAACCATATAGTTGATTAAGTGAAGCAATCTTATAAACAGAAGAAGTATATATATATATATTTTACTTACTATGACTTAAATTGGCCCATCCTTAAGGTTAGATTTGGAGTGTGCACTCACTTATCACAAAATTACTGTATAAAAGAATAGGTCTTCTACCAGTTTAATACCCATTGTCTAAACAGAAACTTATTTATATATTTAACATTTATCTTTTGATGGAAATATTCTCAATTCTGATACTAAACATCAATTCCAATTAAATATATTTCTAATTTTAAAAAAAGTATTCATTAAAATAATAAGATGAAATAATGGAAATATTTGTAGAAAGTACTGATTGTTTTTATATACTTAGATAACATATATTTCTATAGCTCAGAATGAACTTGTTAAATGTTAAACAGTATATAGATTTGTTGATTAATAGTATGTGTCCCAATACATTTCTATATAAATATTATGTTTTGTTTTATTTGGTATTCATCACTACTATTCCTAATCTGTTTAATCTAAAGATAGATCCCATGGTAAAACTGAGACCTGTCAATCAGAAATTACCAAATATTCACAATAATCTTACACATCATAAATGTAAAACATGTATGCCATTGTAAATATCAAATGAAATCACTGAAACAATTTATTGGAAATTATAACAAATTTTATTTTGTGATATCTTCAATAACAGTATTACAATATTTTATGAGATTACGATATTTATTTATGTTAGCCTAAATGCATTAGCCTCAATTCTTCTAAAGTAACCCAAACCATTTAGCTTGGCTAATCTAGGTTCTTGGCTTGGAAAAATTTATGTTTATATTATTGTTAGGTATTTTAAATCTCTGTGAACCCAAAGTGTTGAGGTTATTTTCAGTATCTTAAGCCGTGTTCACATTACACCTTTTTGGTCAAATTAACCGTGTATGTGGTCTGCTTGACCAAAATATTTAGTGAAAACAGCCTGCATAACACTCTCCTTGGTCAAATGTTTCAAGCTAACATTGCATAGGAAGCAATTAAAACCAAGTTGGTTTCCTGAAAATGGAAAACCACTTTGAACAGTGCAAGTACCAACCGCCATGCATCGTGGAACCATGGAGTTTCTGTATACAGGTAGTTAAACTATTTATGCATGTGTAAACCCTGCTATTTATCATTTAGTCATTTATTATCAATCATTTAATAAAATATGGTCATGCTGACCAGACCTGGAAAAAGTGTGTGACCAGTGGTCTGAGGCATTGACCATTCCCCTGGAGGCATTTTAGAAAAACATATTTTTTTTTTACACATAACAATTTAATACATACCGGTAATTAAATTTGATATTTATGCTAATTGTACTACTCTTTAGCTATAATAATGTAAAGACAACATTTGGTACTGGAGGCATTTGATCAAGATTATTTTCATTGTTGGAGGCACAAAAATATTTTTTCCAGGCCTGATGATGACATCACATCATGACCATATATAGGCACATCATGAATATATATGGGCATCAACAGTTCTTTACTTTTTAGTAACTGTTGTATATTAAATTACAGGTGTGAATGGTGGTACAACTTGTCCAACATTACCCTAACGTGAACATGGCTTTAGGCCAAGTTTTGTTTAAAGGAAGAGAATCAGTACTTCTGATAAGATTTGTTGACAAATAACATTAATTATTATAATTAATGTTATGTCAGCCAATCTTATTATTAATGAAAATAATAGATGGATTTATATTGCACAAATTAGGCAAATCACCATGCAGTTACAGCTTATACACTTAAGCCCTGTCCAGAATATCATATTTGATAAAAACAAGTGACATAAATATGGTCATAATGACATCCCATCATGACCATACATAGGCACATCTACAACAGTTTGTACAATATTTGTCACTTGACTTCAGCTTTACAATTGGTCTATCGTGGGACAATTTTTTAGCAAAATAGATTAAATTCTATGGTTTACAGTAGTTCGTTATTTTCTGTATTCTGAAATTATGGTCATTATCAAAATATTTATTTAAAACTATTTTTGTTTGAATATGGTGAATTTAAATGAATAAAAAATGAGTATAATAATAAGCAAAATACATTTTTAACATACTGTACTGATTCACATGTAATAATTTGTAACATTCGTCAGCTAATAACAATATAGTTATACTAAAATATATAATAAAACCTTTTAATGCAAAGATACAACGATCTTGTCCTTTGTAAATATTGGGCGTTTTATGAATAATTACAAAATATTATATGCTTAAGTATATTCAATGCGTATCTTTTTCTGGATATGCAGAAGCCTTAAACACAAGTGAAGCCAGCATTATTGGTGGAGTCAAAGGTGAAAATCCATGAAAGCTCTGAAAATGTAACGATTTAAGAAGCATAATTTTAAATTGAATTTAATTACTTTAGGCCAGAGGCAGAATTTTCATCATAGGCCTATCTGCTATTTTCAGTAAATTATTTTTATGATCTGACAGAAAATCAGGACATTATCGTATCGGGATGCATGGGGAATGTAGTAACAATAACAGAAACCATTGGCATACGCCACCCCTACCATAACCCTTCAAGATTATCAGTTTCACAGGTACAATATTTATTACGGTACTTTACACACATACACTCTACTTTGCATTCCATTTGCGATCGAAATATATACATGCATCTATCAGGCTATTGCTTCCAGCACCATAACAGGCGGTGGATAGACTGTCCCTACTAATGGTACTGAGCTGGGTAAGGAGACGAAAGAAAGAGAGAGGGAGGTAAAGAGAAAAAAGGGGAGAAGAGAAAAATACAGACAATAATAAATAGGAAGATATATGATATCACAACACACTGCACCCCTTCTACACTTCAAAAAATGTCCACAGCGTTAGAGCAAAATGGTTGTGAGTGATATGTCTGATGTACGAGATACACAGGCTGCTGGAAGACGTACATCGCATTGTGGTTTTGTAGCCCCTTTAATTTAAGCCGTCAGATATTCACTGAATATGTTGGTACATTTCAGTGGCGGATTTAAGTGGGGCCCAGCTGGCATGAGCCCCTAAATTTGTCAAAATTCGCCATCTAAAGGTGCAGATAGTCATATATTTGACCTCAGCCCCAACCATGGTGGGGCTAAGGTGCTGTAGACCCTCCATCTGTCAAAGTCCCTTCCTGGGCCCCTATATTTCAAATTCCTTGATCCACCACTGCATCTCATTCCCAGACAGGCACTTTGCATTTTACACAATCTTGTATAATTTTTAGAACGATAAAGGATCGCTCCATGATTTCTTCAAAGGCAAGAACAATGGCCTACTGCAAAAAATTGTTAGGAAAAGATAGGCTGCGAAGTTATATTTTGACCGTCCACGGTAGAAAATTTAAAATCGATCGCAAATTGACGCTAGACATCGTTATCGTTAGCAATCGTTGAAGTTGAAACGGGTTCAACTTTAACCAAAGATACTTTCTAGTATCTTTGCTTAGTCAGTACCTGGAGGCAGTTTGCAGATTTACAACAGTAACAAGAAAACCAGATAGAACTACGACTGACTCCAGAGAAGAAGACCAGCATGAGACTTCATTTTCAGCCCTAAACTACTTAACCAAAAAAAAAATTGACAATTGAGGTACCATATATTGCAATTTCTATAATAATAATAATAATAATAATAATAATAATAATAATAATAATAAATTTCATTTAATAGCATAAAAGTCCCAACTCAAACTACAGTAATTATAATAAATCTTTGCATGTGTATTGATGGTGAAAGAATAATATGGTTGCAATAAATAAAACCCAAATGAAAATGCTTATATTTAGATTCAAACACATGTGTAGGCCTAATAATTATTGTATATCATATTATTTTTTATATTTGAAGGGGCGGGGAAGGTATCACACTGGGTCATGAATTACTAACTGTGAAAATTATTACATTTACCCCCATGACCCAAGTGCCATGTTGCATGCCTGATTGCTTTCAACTGTTCTCGATGAGACAAACTGTTGAATGTGGTTCCCCATCTAGAAGGTCAATACACACAAAATATTAAATTACAAAACTGTAAATGCAAATAAATGACACATGCCAGGGATTTCTTAAATTGAAATGTTTATTTGTTTACAACAAGTGAAATGATTTTTACAAATATTTTTTTCAAACTCTAAAATACCAGCTAAAAATATATCGGTTAATACTAAATTATGTATGGCTTTATTTCACAAATTTCAAAATTTAACTGCTTCTAGCTATTAAAATCATATAAGGGGCTGACAAAATATACAGTATGGTTTAATTCTAAGCTCAGTGCTGTATTTAGTAGTGAAAGTTTGAGTTTCTAAATAGAGAATTCTATATAGGAACTCTAGTGAAAGTTTTTATCAGGGCGCCCCCTACAGCATGGTACAAAAATGTGACCGGCTCTGGCAAAACCCTCCGTTTCTTGCAATTTTTAATTTCCCACAAGCACTATTATGAAGTTAAAAGCCAATCTCTTAATATACATATTATTTATAGAATCATACTTTATACAATTTATATTAAAACAGCTCACATATATATCCTTTATAAAAAAAAAATACACCAAAGTTTGCATTTATAATTTGAAACGATTTTTTATAATGTACAGTTTATAGCTAATGCATTGAATAATTCAAATGTACAATAATTCTGTGTTACCTCTACAGCCAAGTATTGTGTAACACTATTAACAAGGTTTATTGTCATTGTCATTCAGATAATTGCTATGTTCTCACACAGAATGTGGCTCCCGCTAACCATTAGTTGCCGTGCGTCCATACGAGAAAATCCGATCCGGATACCAAAAATATGATGATCGAATCACTGGCCAATAAGAAACTGTAAATTGTAAACGCGTACGTGTGATTGGTTGATGATAGAAATGTGCTCAACTTACTAACCGATAGCGCTTGCTAACCGTTAGCAGTTTCTTATTGGCTAGCCATTAGCTCCCAATCCGGATACTAGGGCTCTCGTGAAAACCAGGCTTAAGTATTACAATAGAATCTTATTAACACATTTGGAGCCAACAAAAGTGTCTTAAAAGAGGATAAAAACCAAGGTCCAAAAACTAGTCTTTTATTGTAGGAATCCTTCTTTCTGTCTCCAAATGCCTTACCAAAACCTACGGTCAATGTTCTTTTACTTTTGCTTCTGCCTACTTGTGAAACCAACTTCCAAATTACATAACTTCTTCCAACACTATTTGCAGCTTAAAACCTATTTGTTTTCCTGTGGCTTTTCACATGTGTTGCGCCTTTGATCTTGTTTGGAATTGGCGCGTTACAAATTTGAGATATTATTATTATTATTTAAGACCTGTATAAATGGAATATGTTAATCTTTTGTACTTCTAAAAAAAGAGAAATATAGTATTTAAATTGACCATTTGGCACACTGAAAACTCAGAAAGTGTCCACATCTATTACACACATAAGGTTAAGCTTCATAGATATTCGTCCCCATACCTTGCACTTTTCTGCATGGGATTAACAAAAGTTGAGTGTAATGCCTGGCAAAAACCCATCCTGCCCATGTGTTATATTAGTACAGTATTAGTCCATAGGTATAAAAGTATCACCTAAGGTACTTTTCGAATAAGACATCAAGAGTGTTTTGCTGTTTGAAAAGCAAAAAACTGTAGCATTCATTCCAATCATTAACTCATTTTATTTTTTTACAACCTCTGAAGGGGGTGCTCAGGCACCCAAGCATGCTCACACTTGCAACAACCAAAGAGATAAGACAAAAATGACACGCCACTGCCTAGGAGCGAAAAAAAATTCCCATATTTTTTCAGGATATATGCAATCTATTCGACTGTCTTTATATTACTTTTAGGCAACTAAAAATGAATTTAATGATTACTTGCAAAGTAATTACTCCATTCAAAATGCAAACATTTGTCAAAGTTGCAGCATCCGAAAGATAAGACAAAAATGACTTTAATAATTGAATAAAAATAGAAAAATTTCTTATTTTATTTTTTTTTTGTTGATTCTTAATATATATAACATTGTCATATGTGAATTTAATTCATGTTGCTTTCATATGTTTGGCACAAAAAAACCCCAAAAAACAGTATCCTGATTTCCATTTTCCTTAGCCACAACAAATGGTGTCTGATGATCGTGATATTACAGTCAATGTTAGGGGAATTTGTTTCGCAATGAACAAACCTCCCTCTTCTGGAATGCCTCTGTTACTACTACTGTATACCTACAGTAGCTCAATAAACATGAGGGTAAACATGGAAAATGCAATGCAAATAAAAATCAAAATAGTATTAAACTAATTCTTAATTCAGAATAAAGAATTAGTTTAAGACTACTGTAGCAAGAGCTGCTGCCATACAACAAAACAGGATGGTCTTTTAAAACTTTCCATCGGGTGTTTAAGCTGCACAGCTAATATCAAGGAATCAAAAATCAGTTGATTCAAGGCTAAGTAGTGGTGAGCTGCTGCAGCTATTCTGGCAGGGGAAACTGTCTTGCTGAGAAGTCATTGCCCTTCAAATCAAGCATGCTGTCTTCCAATGCTATATTCATCCTACCACATTCCTTTACCATTTCATTAACAGTACTGTCTGACAAACTGCAATAACTCATGTCAATATGGCTCAGGTCTGGGGAGACCTTAAAAAGGCCAGCTAATGTTCTACCACTGATTGAAGATATGTTAATCCTACTCAAATCTATCCTTTTCCACATCAGTCTCATATTTACACCTACTGATTCAACCAGCTTTTCCAAATTGTCAGCTGTAAGCGAATAATCACTCCATCTGAAAGGTTCATTAGCATAATCCTTAATATAAAAAAAATTATGAATTACTCTAACTAACTCATATTTAAACCTGATTCAACCAGCCTTTGTAGGTTATCAGCTGAAAGAGAATAATCACTCCATCTGAAAGGTTCAATAGCACCATAATGCTCATCATAAGGACGATGAATTACTCTGACTAACTCTACAAGTGATTTACCATCAATATCTGAAAGGTCATTGCCCTTTAGTTCAAGCATTTTGTCTTTCAATACTATATTCATCCTACCACATTCCTCCATCATTTCATTAACAATACTGAATGATAAACTGCAATAACTCAGGTCAATATGACTCAGGTATGGGAAGATCTTAAGAAGGCAAGCTAATGTTCTACCACTAACTGAAGATAGGTTAACCTTACTTAAATCTATCATTTCCCAATTTAGTCTCATATTTACACTTGATTCAACCAGCCTTTGTAGGTTATCAGCTGAAAGAGAATAATCACTCCATCTGAAAGGTTCAAAAGCACCATAATGCTTATCATAAGGACGATGAATTACTCTGACTAACTCTGCAAGTGATTTACCATCAATA